GTAATCAGTGAGGGGATTCTGCAGACTGTTGAGGGTTCAGCCTCCTGATGAGTCGGTGAAACTCCGACGAAACAGTTTGTCACAGCCCCTTGTTTGTTGTCCTGTTCTCTCTCTCTGTTCTGTTTGTGACGATATATATATATATATATGTCCTCTTCTCTCTCTCTGCCTATGGTTTACCATATATATATCTTGTGGGGGTGGGGGGGGTCCCGTCATCACCGCCACTGCACTTTCCTCCTCATCGCCACTGCCATCACTTTCATCGCCGCTGCCATCACGTTCATCGCCACTGCCGTCCCTTTCATCACCACTGCCACCACTTTTATTGCTGCGGCTTCCTCCACCTCTCACATGTGATGTATCTGTCCACGGAAAGCAGCCAATCAATCAATCAGTCGATCAATCAATCGATCAATCAATCAATCAATCAATCAAGTCAAGTAAGTCAAATCAAATCAAATCAAATCAAATCAAATCAACAATCAATCAATCAAATCAGTCCATCAATTAATCAATCAAGATTTGTTGATTGATTGATGGACTGATTTGGTTGATTGATTGATTGATTGATTGGCTGATTTCCGTCGAGAGATGCATCACACGTGAGAAACAACAAAGCATGTCCAGGATTCAAGCAGACGTGCGAAGTTGCGAATGCCAAACAAATAAAACGTCGGATTGAGTCCGACAAAGTTGTCCATAAACAGTATTAAACACTTTGAAAGGAAAGAAAAAAAAGGCAACAAGGTTTAAATAACGAGAGAGAGAGAGAGAGAGAGAGAGAGAGAGAGAGAGAGAGTATCACTATCTCCCCCTTCTATCCCAAGAAAGTTGCAATAACGTGAGAGAGAGAGAGAGAAACAGAGCACCCGTCACGAAAGCTTCGAGGTCCAAGAACGTGTGTGTGTGTGAGGGAGAGAGAGAGAGAGAACCCGTCACCTCTACTCCATCCTACATCGAGAGAGAGAGACTGACCTGCTGTCGGCTTGCTCCTTGGTTGATGGGCGACCGGTGGCTCTTGCTTCTCCTTGGAAGATTACGCACTCACTCCTTTGCTCCATAGCGATGGCTGCCTCCCTTGACAGAGCTCAAAGTCGGTGGCGAGGGATGGGAAGATGGCGATGGCAGCAGCGGCAGTGGCAGTTCTCAAACGGCCGATTCGAAGTTGTGCCCCCCCCGTCTGCTACCGTACCTCAAACAGCTGTGAGCTGTCTCTGTGTCTGGCCCTGTTGGCCCTGTCCGATAGGCCTAAGAAAGTCAAAAAAATCACCCCTGTAATTTTAAGGGGGCGCCAAGGACAAGGACCTGAAAAACGTCCTGGGCCGCCCCATTTCGTTTTTCAAATTTTGTGTTGGGGGGCGGTTTCCGGACGTCCTGGATACCGGACCCCTCATTTTCTTCCAGACTGTCTGGAAGCCAGTCCAGACGTCCGATCCATTACCACACTTTTTTCTTTCTTTTCGTTCTTTTTCTATTGCTCAGGAAGCCCTATCCTCTCTCACCTTAAACCCTAAACCCTGTCTATATATGTCGTCTTTGAGCCTCCACCCCCCCCCCCCCTTTTTCCAAATGCTCAGGAAGCCCTGTCCTCTGTCACCCGAAACGCTTAAACCCTGAACCTTTAGATCCTAACCCCTAAAACTCTAAAAACCTAACCCAATTTTTTTTGTTTCCCCCGGCGATCCCCCGCTCCCTCCATCGGCTTGAGGTAGAAATCCGGGTCAGCGAAAAGAGCCTTGGAGATATTGGTGAAGATGAAGTTCTATCAAAAAAAATATCGGGGGGGTTTGCATCCCTCTCCAGAAGTAGTACCCTGTTGTTGACTCTCTCTCTCTCTCTCTCTCTCTCTCTCTCTCTCTCTCTCTCTCTCTCTCTCTCTCTCTCTCTCTCTCTCTCTCTCT